CTAACCAATGCGCACATCGTGGTATTTTATTATTTCCTCCCTATGCGCCGGTCGTATAGTGACCGTCCCGGGGGGGGGGGGGGGAAGGTGAAAAGGGATACCTGTTACGCACCGCGCCAGCGCTACTACACACCGCGCGGCCTTGAGTTGGGCGCCAGACATGGTTTACGTAACGGGTCAAATAGTGGGTTGGGGCATACACTGCCACATTTATTATTATTATTATTACTTGACTTCAAAATAAACTTGCCAGTCAATATGATAACAAATCATTTAGATTTAAGGGTAGACGACTGTGCCAGGAAATTATTCTTTTAAAGATCTTTTCCTACCTACTTCCCTTAGCATTAGCTGTTTTTTTTTTCATTATTTTTTTTTTTTTAGCCACCTGATTCTAAATATAGCCACTTTCTTGGAAGTCAAGAAAATGAAACTGAAAGGTGCAACGTCCTAAAAGCGATGCAAGAACCGAATCTAAACCTAAAAACTTATGATCTTACTAACAATCGCTTTTGGAATGTCCGTAGTTTCCAAGTCTTGTTTATTTTTATTTTGAATTGATTTAATAATATTGTACTCGTTATTTCTGAAATACAAACAAATTTTATCAAGCCCCGTGCACATGCCATATATTATATCAATTATCAAAGTACGGCGCCCATAGCCATAGCCATACATATCTTCAATATTCAATATTGGCTTCATCGAGTTACCTCTGCAATCATTAAAATATTTAATTTAAATATATTAATAAAAAAAATTAAAATCTATATGCTAACTTTCTGAAATTATCATTTTATAGCTCTGGATAGATATTGCATGCTGGGTAAGTGAAACTAAAAAGTAACTACGCTACGGTACCATAGATTATATTTATAATAATAACCGTACAGTTATTTTCACATTAATGATTAATGTAACCATTGTAATTGTAATAACTTTGAGCTACACTGGACTGAAAATGAATGATTTTTAATTTGTATTCAACTTTCCATATTAATGATAATGATTGCCTTGGCTTAGAATTAAGTCATATTATAATATAAATAAATTATATTATGTTATTGTTATAAATTTTGTGCAGTATTGTGTTATGTTAACTTGTTCAGTGTTGTATTAACAAGTGTAGAGAAGCAACGTTTTGAAAATATTTATATTGGGGAAGAGGTAAGATGTAAAACATAATTGCCATGAAAAAATAAAGTATCATTGTTATAATTAAAAGGTTCTACTTTATTTAAAATGATCCTAGGGGAAACTACCCAGCTCCCTTACAGTGCATGCAGCTGGATACAATTATTTATAGTTTATAGTGACTATTGGCAAATGTACCCTATACTATACTAATGCGAAACCTCTTAGTGGACAGTCTATTTTAAGTCATGGTGTTTGCATCAGTAATTACTAATATTAATGCACAGAAAAATTATGAATTAAAGTAATCATCGTTACTTTAAAAAAAAAAAAATCTGAGCCTGTGTTAAACAGCAGAGCAGAAGTTCTGTATCATGCTGGACGCTGGTTTGAGACATACCAACATAAAGACGGAGAAATAAGCAAACTAAAAGCTTTGAAATAGTTGGTTATGTCACTGACAGTGAGTGACAGCTATCAAATATTGACTGCATGGTGAAAATTTAGCATCTAACTTCTGGATATTATATTCTGATATCCAAAAGCCAATTAGCTGATTAATCAACTGAAAAAGGCTGATTATGATAATTTGGCCAAATGGCTCATATTGATTATCCACCAATTGATTGATGCTAACTCTATTTTCTATTACCACTCACTTAAGCCATAGTTCTTTTTAAAAATAATTTAAGCTATTAATTATTGTGATTTTTTTATTTATAATTTAAGTTTCCATTAATTTGACATCATGTCAAACCCAAGTGAAATGATTGAATATGACCACGGCCTGAAGAACACCATTCAAGAACTTTTCATCCACAAAATAGTCCCATCTAATTTTATATATCTGATTCATAAGCATGACCCAAAAGTGCTTACAGATCCAGATGTTGTAAGTAGACCTATATCTAGTTTTATTTATTTCTATGCATTATAGGAACAAAATACTGTTCATATTTATTTTTATTTTTATGTCTATGATAAAAAGATTAAAAAATTGTTCTTAAAAAAATTCATTAGAATATCATCATTAAAAAATCTAATAAAACATCTTTATTACATTATATAATTCCTGTTTACATCTATGACTTTAATTTTGATTTAACACCTCAATGTCTCTTCCTTACGTCTTTTTTATAACAAATATTGCTGTGGATTAAAAGTTGTGCATCAAAAAATTAAAAGTTTATGTAAAAAATAAATTGTAGTTGGCTCCTTGGTCATTTCTAAAACTAAAAGGCTTTAGAAAAGTTGACTGCGCAATCCTCTTATGTTGACATATTTCCTAATTGCTTTAGCGTCGCGTTGTCAAGAGTATTGAAAGTAAAATAGACATGGAAGTTAACATGGAGATGCTGGATTTAATGACGCATTACAAGGGTTGGTTTGAATGTTTGTTAAAAGTACTGGGGGATCCTGCTTTAAAGCAAGATGATCTGATTCAACATTTTAAAAACCTGAAAGGTAAGGCACTCTGAAATCTCTTTGATTAGGAGTTATTTGTTTTCTTCTTAAATTAAAAAATAAGGAATAAAATTAAATTCATAATTTGAATAACAGATAAATTATCAGTTATTAAATGTATCTTGTTATAAATAAAATAAACTTCTCTCTGAATAATTTTAATTTTAAAATAATTTTTTAGCTGCACATTACTTTGTCTCTTTAACTGTAAGGAAGGCCATCTTCCTTTGTCTCTTAAACTGTAATGACAGCCATCTTACTTTGTCTCTTTAACTGTAATGACAGCCATATTACTTTGTCTCTTTAACTGTAATGACAGCCATCTTACTTTGTCTCTTTAACTGTAATGACAGCCATCTTACTTATTTTCCTGCAGACAAGTTTGATAAGAAGTGGAAGGCAGAAAAAGGAGGAAGAGAGGTTTGTTTAAATTTAAGTTAGGCATTCTGAGAACTGTAACTCCTGATCAATTTTCAAACAATCACACGTTAGAGATGTAATTCTGCCACCTCCAATTTACTCATTTTTCATTGGTAATATATTTAGAATCGCATTCTACTTATAGGCTACACCATATAATTATATTTAGAATCACATTCTACTTATGCCATATAATTATATTTAGAATCACATTCTACTTATGCCATATAATTATATTTAGAATCACATTCTACTTATGCCATATAATTATATTTAGAATCATATTCTACTTATGCCATATAATTATATTTAGAATCACATTCTACTTGCACTATATCATTATTATAATACTACTTACATCTTTTAAAGGATTCTTGAGATAAACTTTAGAATTACAATTTTATTAAAATGTACCGGTTCCTTTAGCTTTGAAAATATCTTTATTTTACCGGGTGTTACATTTTCAGAATGTTGGTCCTAAACGTGGAAAAAAGGAAAATAAAAAGAATGATATTGTACCTATAACAGGAGGTAAAAAATCTTGAAATATATTAATTTTTTAAATCATATTTATTTATTCATAACTGTATAGATATAGGCCATAAGTTAAAATTTTATTTTCCCTGTTTGTCAAACTCAATCCAAGAGGTTTCCATTAGGAAAATCTTAAGTTTTTGGGTATTAATATTAATGATTTAAGTTTTTTAAATATAGACTAAAATTAATAAAAGTTTTGAGCTTAAGTCAATAAATATTGGCTCATGATACCGGTAATGAAACCGCTGGTCGATGGCCACAAAGACAGCCACTGTTTTTTAAGGCCTCACTATGATTATACTGGGTCTTTAATTTTGGAATATGATAGAATAAGATGACACATCAGGTGTTCATGACACATCAGATGTTCATGACACATCAGGTATTCATGACACATCAGGTGTTCATGACACATCAGGTGTTCATGACACATCAGGTATTCATGACTCATCAGGTGTTCAAATAAGAAGTAACATCACAAATACTAATTTTGAAATATTTATCTGAAGTGGTATACATTTTTTATGAACTTTCAACTCCAAATATATCATCCTGCCTTTTTTTCCTGAGAAATAAATTTATTATTCGGGTTAGTTCAATGAATGTCTAAACTATTAATTACTGTCTACTCACACTGTTTCATTGTTTGTGTTTCAGTACCCGAGTCTGGTGGTAAGCCTGCAGTCCCCAAAGAAAGTGTTCGCAATAGTAATGTCAGCTCAGCACAAGCAAGTCTTAATGAAGTCAAAGGTCAGCAGAAAAAAGCTGAGGCTAAAGTCAAGGGTAATGAAGGTGGCGGTGCAATGGCTTCTGACTCCCCCAAAAAAGAATCCGTTGCACATTCCAAAAATAAAAAGAAGGTCAATTCTCCCTTAGTACAATCAGCATCAGTCTCAAATTTAAACATAATTCAGACAGGGAAAGGTGAGGTCGCTAAAGAGAAAAGCGCCGGTTCAAAGCCACCTTTACAATCTGGTCAGTGCAGTCAAGACTTCTGCAGTATTTGTAAAGCAGTTCTAAAATCACCTCAAATTGCAGAGGCGCATTACTCAGGGAAAAAACACCAAAAGAATGTTGAAGAGGAAGAGAAGTTGAAAACCTCTGCCCAGGCCAAAACAAGCAAAACAGGCCCAGCAGCAGCAGCAGGTGTGGCTGTGCACAGACCAGAAAACGAAACTCTGCAAGCTGACTCTGTATTCACTTACAACCAAATATACACTTTAAATGAGAAAGGTAAAGGTCTGTGCCATGTGTGTGGGGTGGCTCTGACATCACAGCAGAATGCTGATGATCACCTACAAGGTAAAGGTCACAGGAAGAAAATGGAAACTATAAACTCAAGTAAAGCTAAGTAACATTTGAAATCTTTTAATAATTATATATCAGTGATCACTAATGACCAATACATTTGTAATGAATTTTAAATACATGATAATCATTTTTATTTTTTTAAAGTGTGCCCAGATTATGCCCAAATTCATTTTTTGTACGATATGGGACATCTTTTGAGTTGTGCATTAAATAAGCTTTTTATGTATCACTTTGTAATTTATTCAAAATATGAAGTAGGTCGACACTTAAGTTGAACTGCTGGGTCTGGCAACCCTGAAGGACACTTAAGTTGAACTGCTGGGTCTGGCAACCCTGAAGGACACTTAAGTTTAACTGCTGGGTCTGGCAACCCTGAAGGACACTTAAGTTGAACTGCTGGGTCTGGCAACCCTGAAGGACACTTACGTTGAACTGCTGGGTCTGGCAACCCTGAGGGCCACTTAAGTTAAACTGCTGGAGAATGACACTTACGTTGAACTGCTTGGTCTGGCAACCCTGAAGGACACTTAAGTTGACCTGCTGGGTCTGGCAACCCTGAAGGACACTTAAGTTGAACTGCTGGGTCTGGCACCCTGAAGGACACTTAAGTTGAACTGCTGGGTCTGGCAACCCTGAAGGACACTTAAGTTGAACTGCTGGGTCTGGCAACCCTGACGGACACTTAAGTTGAACTGCTGGGTCTGGCAACCCTGAAGGACACTTAAGTTTAACTGCTGGGTCTGGCAACCCTGAGCTCGGGCATTCAAATATTAATCCTCTTTCCCTCATGAACAAACCTCAAATGTACAGGATGTGATTGTTCATACAAATATTACTGATCACTTTATTTTGAACCACTTTTGGTAAAATGCAATTTTAAGATTACTGAATACTACAAACATTTTGATTTTACTTTGAATAGTAATAATTTTAATTTATAGAGTTTTCCTCAAAGATTTAAACACAGGATGCTTAAAACTTGCTCAAAGACATGGTCATTTCAACACAAAACCCCATTCCTTCTAATATTTGCAGTTTGAACCTGTTGTCTCCCTTTTGTTTTAAGCCAAGAACCTGTTTTGGATACAGTTGTGAAGATAAACATTTACGATAATGTTATTTGGCAGGACCCTCTGCCTCTTGGGGTGACATCCTAACAATTACTATTAATTTACAGGGAACGGGAAGGCCCACAAACAGAAAATGATCACTGCTCTTAAAAGATTTAACAATGAATTAGTTAAGTTGTATGTACCAGTAGCAGCATCACCTTAGGCATTTTCTTTTGACAACATAGTTTGTTTATACATTATAAAAATATGTTTAGGAGCAAGGAAATAAAAAACATAAGTTTGGGAAACCCTGAAAGAAGGGAAACAAAATAACTAACGTATTGGCAAAAAGCCTGCTTCAGCGAACATAAACATTACCGCTACAAATAAAAAAAAGAATAGAGTCTAATTCAAAAAAAAGATCTTATTTTGTGTGAATAGCTGATCTCTTTAACAAAATATTTTATATTAAAACTAAGATAAAATTTTAAATTCTACCAATTGTATTGTTCTGTCTAAGCTGAGTTTACTCTCTTTCTCTACACAGTTGGTGATTGATATGAGAATGAAGGGTTACGTGACCCTAACAAATTGTTGTGTAATATGTTGACATGTTTACAAGTTTTATCTACATTGGCAACCATTCTTCTCCAATAGACCATGGCGTATTCTCTGAAATATCTCTAGTGAAATTACAAAGCCTTGGTAAGGTGTTTTAAGGAGAAAAGTGTCCCAATAGCCTTGGTCAACATCAGACTCGTAGGGAAACAGCAGAGTTCACGAGGGCAATGGTGGTCTATCTTTTTTTGAGTAAAGAGACATTTTTTTATAAATTATCTGTCAAGAAAATATTTGAGAACAAATTTATTAAAAAAACAGAGCCACAGGTTATCAACCACTGACCATTGCATTAAAGTTAAAGCAACATTCTCCAAATAGTGGTCCATATACCGGTACCGACCACTGACCTTTGCATTAAAGTCAAAGCAACATTCTCCAAATAGTGGTCCATATACCGGTACCGACCACTGACCATTGCATTAAAGTTAAAGCAACATTCTCCAAATAGTGGTCCATATACCGGTACCGACCACTGACCTTTGCATTAAAGTTAAAGCAACATTCTCCAAATAGTGGTCCATATACCGGTACCGACCACTGACCTTTGCATTAAAGTCAAAGCAACATTCTCCAAGTGGTGGTCCATGTACCGATACCGACCCTCACAAAATGAACTTTTATGATTAATAAAAAGAAAATATAATTAATGAATCTGGCACTGGTCCCGCTGCATTATCAAAATTTGTCCATCAAACTAATACGTTTTGGAAATGCTGCCCAAGAAAACTTCCCTGTTCTTTACCTGACCAACAGCCCTTGAGTTGAATATGTCATGGCTTGGTGTCAAGCCAGCACTTCACCCTGAAACTGTAGACATTATTATTAAGGTTTATATAATGTGAATATAATGAATGAAATAATTGTTTTAGTATTTAGTGTGAGATAAGCCTGAGCTGTCATGTCATATGGTATGCAGCCCAGCATTTGATCTTTTTGAAAGCCCACATTTTAATAAAATATTTGGAATAAATATGAATGGACATTTTTTTATCCACTTTCTTCTTTTTGAATGTGATGAAAATATATAAAAATATTTATGTTACAATGTAGCCTTTCTACATGCCAGCTGTTAATAATATTTTAATCAATTGCCAGAATATTTTTTTCAAATAAAAATATCCATCACATAATCATTTTTCAAACCACGTAAGTTCAAGACTATGAATGCTCCATAGATTTTAATGACGAGAAGAACTTAAAAATTCTCATATCAATTATCTAAACATCATTTACCGTTACTCTATTTTTAGTCAAATTTATTTATGTAACTTAATTATTTTTGTTTAAGCCATCAATATACAATCAGACACTTAAGACTTAAAAAACCCTTCCAGGAATGTCAGGATATTGCCCTAGTTGTCAGAAGCTCAAAATCATTTTAAATTCTTTTTATTATACGGTAACATCTCAGAAACTCACAGATGATAAAAATAGCTGATTTTAATGAAAATGAACTCTTTATTAATTTCCTTTGCTTCCATTCTATCTAACATATTCTACATATAAATGTCAGTCAAATGAAAATCTTTAAAAAAAGTGTGTCATAGAAATATGTTAACAACAATCTGAGAATGAGTTCACTTTATGGAGGCAGAAAACTTCATTCACTCAATATTAAATCTATTTGTGCATCAGTTCATGTCATTGAGTGGTGTTTTTTTTTAAATACATTAATAAATACTATTACTTACTATTATTACAGAAATGAGACAGAAATTATACAGGCTTCATTTATTAGGAAACTCTAAAAAAAATGGTATGAATCGAATAAATGTTACATTTATAACTAACCTTGGACGGTTGGAGACAACAAATTGATGAGTAGCTTATTTATTTCATATGGGCAAAATTTGTGGAGCCCTATTAAATATTGACTCTTATGCAGTGGCTTAGCACGCAGTTGGCCTAAAATGCTGCATCTCAATCTAAGAATGCCCCACCCTTCCTTCATCAGTGTTCTTATCACAGAAAATAAAATGTAAAAAAACTTAAAGAAGACTATCTCTTCTGGAAAAATAAATTTATTGAAAAAATTATGTCAATTGTCATGCATGTTTGGCGCTTCTTGCAACATGTAGTATACATGTATCATGTAGGCTACGTGTATCATGTAGGCTACCTTAAGGAATTCTTCTGTGGTCAATTTTTTCAAGGATAACTAATCTTTGGATAGTTAAGGACAACAAGTGAAAAAAAAATATAATTTAAAAAAAAAGATTTAATATATTGACCTGAATATAACTTTTAATGTAACTCTTAGTTCATACTTGCTTTTTGTCCAAGATTTATTACTCTTCTTCTCATCTGTGTTTCTGTGAGGGGCTTACGACCTTTTTATTTCTTTACTTTATTTAATAGTTAGGATATGTATGTTTGTAAAATTTAATATAAATTTTCATGCAATTTTTGTTGTACTGATTGAGCAGAAACGTCTAAATTTTCATTTGGCCATTTAAGAAAAGCTTAACTATATTATTTTCTTGACACAAATAGTTTGTGTGTTATTAATTTACTTAACTTAAAAACTTTATCGCAGACCAAGCCAATTACTGTTTTATATTGTTTATCTAGTTCCTCTTAAATATGTCACAACTAAAATAGAAATTTAAAGTTACATTACAAAATAGTTAAAAATTCATAGCTGAACATATTTTTATATTTCTATTAGCAGGCAACCGAGGATTATTTAACTTAATTAATAGTAGATTATAAATCCACAATTATAAATGTTAACCTGGGATTAAAATAAAGGATACGGTTTGAGCTGCTCTGCAAAGTTCTTCATGTCCTCTCCAATCTGTTCCTGCCCCAGTGGCGCCACTACACTCAGCTCCACTAGATGTGACTGGCTGATTGTCTCCCAGTTCTGTGGTTCTGTTTTGCCAGGTTGTATTAACTGCAAGACACAAGAATAACAACAACAACAACAAACGACACACAAAAATCATCACTGCCAGTCAGAAGAATAAAAAGATCAACTGTAGCTATAGAAATGGTTACAAATAATTGGTACAGGTATGCTATATTATGAGCATAGTTGAAAATTCGTTTCTTTGCTAGCTTAAAAGAATAACATTTTAGCCGTGCTGTTTAAATTTAATTGAAAAAAGGCGGAGTAAAAATTGGTGGTAAAATATATTAATGAACGTCCAGTAAATTTTTAAACAATATAAAAACTTCCCTCTATCTAGCCTAGGGTGACCGAATAATGAACTGGAAAAAACGGGAAACTTTCGAGGACGGGCTTTCGGGGGGGGGAATACCAACACCTAAAAACATTATTGCAAACTGTGCACTCGGCTTCACTTTCATAGCGTCCCTTTTTTAATATAGTTCCACTCTTTGGAATAGACCTCCATAAAATTACATTGACGCTTGGGCATAATTATTATCTACATGCAAAGATAATATAAAATTAGTGGAATGAAAATTGGTTTCTGCGCTATTGCCACCTCCCTGCTTCAAGTCTCGTGTCTTTCGCTTCACATCTACATATAATATCTATGGCAGGGACACTGGGGTGGTGGGGAACAGTGCAGCCATCACGCGAGCCCACATCACTACTGGCACTGGCTACACAGCTAGCCAAAATAATACTTGAAGTTATATTATAAATTAGGAATTTTTAGTTTTTTGAAAATGTGTTTGGTTTTAAAAAACGGGCATTTACGATCGTGAGAAAACGGGACGTTTGGTCACCCTACTCTAATCTCATTTACAATGAAACATGGTAACCTACTCTGTAAATTTTAAAGACTGTCACTTTCATTCGTCCTTTATGAAAAAAGTGGCCCTTTGCTATGTAGTCGTGATCCATTCTGTTAGAGATAAAATTCATATTGGAATCAAAATGTCTCATCAAACAAAATTTTGAAAAATAATGAGCAAAATAATCTTAGCACTTTTTTTATGTACATTTGAAGGATGGGTTGCAATGATTTAAGTATGGATCCTGCCTAAAGCTTCCTAAAAATGGTGTGCTGGCCGTTAACATCAGCACCAGATGAACGCTACTAGAAACTGACCTGAAGCCCATTTCATAGAGAAATTCCTTGACATTGTTGGAGCAGGCTACATCTAGACAAGCCCTGACTAGTGTGGGTCGCCCCCTTTCTCCCAACTCAGCTTGACCCAGGTAGCGGATGTGGCTGTAACAGGTGACAACAGATTGGATTACTCAGAATCTGCATTAATTTAATTTTGATTAGTACATAATCATACAGCTCTGCCTGACTGTCTTGATAGAGTGTTTTGTAAAATGTTTTGACTCATTATCGATACAATGTGGAAATAAATTAAACTTTGTAAACAAAAATAGAGAAAACTAAAAATGTGAATTAAAATATCCACACAAAAAAATATTGAAGCTTTAAGAAAAGAATACATCTACAAAAAAACTCACAATCGAAATATTTTTTGATTCACTCTTCTTTTAAACAAAATTATAATCTTACTCTGGTGCTTCTGGGTCATCAAGAGCATGCCGAACTCTGAATAAAACATATTGACTCTGTTGAGTGGGGGTGGAGTTTCCTGTTAAATACGATAAAGTTTGTGAATATACAAGTTACAACTACAGTTTCCAAATACTGTGAGCTATAAATGAATGTTGAGTTCAAAATTTTTGTTAAATCATATCCAGAAAACTATGTACCATTAAATGTTTAATTAATTATTACAATTAAGATGAACACTAACTGTTTTCTTACTCAGCATGTACACAGCTTCATAATCTGTGAATATTTCAAAGCTACTCTCAGCATTGTCACAGAGTCCTCGCAATCGATGTAGCAAAACATCTCTGTGTGTGTCAAGTATGCTGCCCTAGTCAAAACAAATTACAATTGATTAAATACATGATAGATTACCTATATTATGGTCAGTAAAATGAAAAAGCAAAACAATTTATGCTGTTAACATTAGTAACTTTAACAAATGTACAGAACATAAACAGTTTAAGTAAAACTTATGTGATTGTAAACCTCAAATGACATTGACTAATCTTATCTCGCTCACAAACATTTTTGAAGGCATTGATTTGCTATGAATATTTCATTAGTCAACCTTATTATTGTTCGTGCTCTTTGGCTCAGATTTGTTTCTAAAAATAACCATTTATAGCTAAGATATTTCATTTCAAGATTTGGTCTCAAATGACACATGCCAAATTGTAAAGCAACTTGAAAGTTTAAGCACTATTGAAAATTTGTTATTATTTATAAGTTTATTACCTGCTATAGGTAGGAAATTTCATTAAAAAATAACAATTAATTACTTGCAATAAGTATTCTTGCTGGGGTGCAATATTTTTAAGGGAAGGTGCTAGCGCTGCAGACTCCATCAACTTATTTTCAGGGTTATTTCCAGCTGCTTCCTCAATAACTTTTAGCCAAATTTACAGCTGAATTACCTAAGAAACAAACACAAATAATGGAAGAAATGATAAACCATGTGTATACCATTAAGAGTAGCATTTTCTATAAGAAGAACACCCCAATAATAGAAAGGGTCTCTTTACAAATTTAAGACCCCAGGCCAAGTATAGGTCAAGCATAGGTCAAGTAAGCACACTTGATGCCATTTTTTATAATTTCAGTTTGCATCTAATATAAATTTTATATTAGATGCAAACTGAAATTATTTTTCTAAAAGTTACTTTAGGAAGGAATTCACCTTTTTGTCAATTCCTATGTCTACTTGAATTGATTAATTCGTCAAGTTCTTTCACACGTTGAATATATCGTACTTTTCTTTCTATTACTGAATAAATTCAATTCCTTTTCATAATAATTATAACTTTAATATCTAAGCTCGCTATCAGACATAAATAATGCACATCCTACTTCCACAAAGTTCCACTCAAGACTGCCCATGACTAAAACTTATGTCACAATACTGTCTAGACAATAAGTCACAATCAGCATAAAAATATGTCACAGAGTCAAGAGTGGGAAGAGCGTTCACTAACTAATTAAAACTCTCAAACATACACCATGCATAATGAACATAATATTCAGTCGCAACAATTATCAATGAACTCCCATACTTGACAAATCCCTCCTCTTCCATTTCAGATTTAACTCAGGGAGTGAAATCGACACACAGACAAAAAATTCACATGAACACCATCAATTAGAAAACTTCCCATAAACGACATGGTCCTTATCAAAAAAACATTTATTTTGGTATCACTGAAAATCCAACAAGGTTATGATGCACCGCAATCAATAAAACCAATCCTTCGTACAGAATTTAATTACAATTCAAGAGTTAAAATGCATGTACTGACAATAAAAATCAGAATGTCATCATTAAATTTCATTTTTCATATCATTGAAATTCAACCAATAAAATAATTCTATTTATATCTCATATATCAGGGCAAATACATCAATATCCTTACTGAATTTGTTACTATAACTTAGATTATCTTATTGATATCATCAATAAGGCTTATTTAAAAAAATCATGACCATCACTAGAAAAAAACAAAAGTATCTAATATTATTGCAGGTGAGAAATGCCTCACCACAATATAAGCAGCCTTTATTTGCTCTTATATGACACATGTGCAGATGGCGGGATATTTCTTTTGTCCGAGGATTTCACAACTTTTTGCTTCACCATCTTAAATATCATTTGACATTCTTCTCGCTGGTCTTTTTACCTGTAGTGACAACTCATATGGAACTTAATTTTACAGTGCATATAGTTAATTTCTTACAAAATGAAAAATGAGTCTCATAAAAAAATTCATTAAAATCAAAAACTTCAGAGCAATCATAGTCAAAGCTCATGCCAACAGAGTCATTTTTAACAATAAAAACAAAAACCTCCGCTCCCAAATCATGGACTTGAGAGCTCACCTCCTCTAGAAAATCATCAACCAGTTCACATTTAGAGCTCTCTTTTTTAACTAATTCAACATTTGTTTCAATCTTAATGTCAGAGCACTCCTGGCTCACGGCTATTCATTATCATTACAATTATCTGTAACAATATGAAAATTTGAGCAGCTCTGGCTCACACTACTTATTGGTTTGTTTTCATGACAGGTCTCTGTAATAAAATCAACATTTGAGCAAACCTTGCTCACATTACAAATTGATTCATCATCAATACAGCTCTCTGTAACAGTATACAATTTTAAACAACCCCTGCTCACAATAACTTTAAAACCTGAGCAACACTGGCTCACATTATCAACAAATTCATTTTCATTACCGGTATATATCTCTGTAAAAATATCAACATTTGAGAAACCTTTGCTTACATTACACAGTGATTCAATTTCATCACAATCTTTATCAACAACAATTTTCTCTCCTTTCCCCACCTCAGGGATTACACTCACCTCCTCAACTTCACAAAAAAAACCAGACAATTCAACTCCAGGACTTACATTATCTGATGGCTCACCATGAGATACAACAAAAATCATGTCCTCAGACATCAGAGCTGGGTTCTCTTTGCTTTCAAGGCAGCCCGTTTCCATAACTACCAATTCATTTCAGACTGTGGCGCTTGGATAATCCCCTTCATACGTCCACCTAAGGTCATTTCCAAATATTTCTACCTTTACGTAGTAGGCGTGCATTTTCTCCTTTCCATTGGGGTTCCTGGGATAAACTTCAACCTCGTGGTCGCCGTAACCCGACCACTTTTGACATGAATCTAAATCTATATCTGTACCCTTCGCCACCACACAGTCAACGTTCCTTTTAACGTCAGCCGACGGACCCCTTAACAATTCTATTTCCACCAATCTATTTTCTTTATCAAGTTTCATTCTCAACTTATCAAGTTCGAATTGTATCTGTTTATCCGCCTCTACTTTCAACTTATCAAGTTCAAACTGTCTCTGCTTATCTGTTTCTATCTTCCACTTAACTAGTTCAGATTGTCTCTGTTTATCTGCCTTTATTTTCAACTTATCAAGTTCAAATTGTCTCTGTTTATCTGCCTATATTTCGTATTGTCTCTGCTTGTTGCGCTCCATATCCCCTTGGCCGTCAATAAAGTTATTTTTAGTTCCATAGTTAAAAAATTAAAAATTTTAAAGGGATTCTCACAGTGAATCCTGGCAATGCCGTGTATTTCTTCCACCTGAATATCATAATCATCACGGTCGTTAAAGTAATATGCATGTCTCTCTAAAATAATTTCCTGTTGTTCTGCCTCTGATTCCGCACGTCTAATATCTTCATCTAGTTTATTAGGTTTGTATTGTCTCTCCTTATCTCTAGGTTCATACTATCTCTGTCTATCTCAAGGTTCATACTGTCTAGGTCTGGCTGTACCTTCTAAATATCTCTGTCTATCTCTAGGTTCTAACTGTCGCTGTCTGGCTTTACATTCTACATATCTCTGTTTAGCTGTATGTTCTACATATCTCTGTTTAGCTGTACGTTCTAGCTCGCTCTGTTTATCTAAATGTTCTTGAATTCTCTGCGTTTCTTTAAGTTCTTCATCTCTTTGTTTTTCTATATGTTCTTGCTCTCTCTGTTTTTCCCATATTCCCTTTATAAATTCCACAATTCGTCTCCTTGATAATGTAGTGATATAACCCGATGCCTAATTTCTCACTAACATATTCTGCCATAGTAATACAAACTAGGGTTGAGGTTACAGTGAAAAAAAAAATTAACTCTAGTTTAAGGACCAATCGCAGTCTGTTCAAACTAACTCTGGCAAAAAGCTATGTTCTACCAGGGTAAAAAATTTAAATAAACATACAAAAATTTACCCCAAAAAATGCTTTAAACAAATAAAAATCCAACTTGCCAGGTTTGTGGAATGTGCTACAGAATTTAAATATTATTATAAAACTGGGACTTAATTAAGTGTCAATAGTTTTCTCACGAACTTCAATATTACTATAAGGCAGATAACGGGACACAGTCATTGAGGTGTGGGTGACCGGGACAGGTCACAGGACATCCGCAGCTCACTGGACAGGGTGTAGGCGAATCGCTAACACTGGACAGTTCGTGTGTAACTGGCCAATACACGATAGGGCATAGGCAGCTTGATGCAGGGTGGGTGGCTCGTTGAAACAGGACTGGGCGTTTTTCAACAGGGTGACCGGACAGAGCCACAGGACATCGACAGCTCACTGGACACTGGACAGGACTGGTAACTCTGGAAAATAACGGGACACAGTGGAGGGTGCAGGTGACCAGACAGAGCCACAGGATGTCATCAGCTCACTGGACACTGGACAAGATGTAGGCCGACATCAGACAGTTCATAAGCAGCTTAATGCTGCACAGTGCGTTGGTGGCTCGCTGCTGCAGGACAGGACGTTGGTAACTGGATACAGGGCTAGACGTGGCTCACTACCGAAAGAATGTAGATAACCCGATACAGGGAAAGGCGTAGTTAATTCACTGGAACTGAACAGGACGTTGGCAACTTGATAACGGGCAAGGCTAGGTATTTTACTGGAACTGGACACGAAGTAGTGCCGACAGGTCGTTGATAACTCGATTCAGGGAAGGGGGCAGTTAATTCACTGGAATTGGACACGACATTGGTAACTTCATTCAGGGCAGGACGTAGTTAACTTGATTCAGGGTCAGGCCTAGTTAACCTGATGCAGGGTAGGACATAACTAGCCTGATGCAGGATGCAAGTGGCTAATGGAGTAACTGGTGTATGCAACTCATATGAACTTGATATACGATGGCAGCCGGGCTCCGACAATGAAACACTGGAACATGCGACAATAGTTGTAACTTCAACAAAGTTGTAACTTCAACAAAGTTGAAATATAAGAAAGTTCTTGTACTTTACCTCATAGTAAGAAAATGACGAGGTTTAGCAACCCGGGATGAGAAGCCCCCATGTCAATTCCTATGTCTACTTGAATTGATTAATTCGTCAAGTTCTTTCACTTGTTGAATACATCGTACTATTCTTTCTATTACTGAATAAACTCAAGTCCTTTTCATAATAATTATAACCTTAATATCTAAGTAAATACTATACATATAAACACATGAATGTAGCATAGCTCGCTATCAGACATAAATAATACAATCCTACTTCTACAAAGTTCCACTCATGACTGCCGCACGACTAAAACTTACTTCACAATACTGTCTAGACAATGCTCACAAGTAGCATAAAAATACGTCACAGAGTTAAGCGCAGGAAGAGCATTCAATAACTAATTAAAACTCTCAAACACACAATGCGCGTAATGAACATAATATTCAGTCACAACAATTATCAATGAACTCCCATACTCTACACTTTTATTAATTTTCAGTCGTTTAGTAAAAACGATTATTTTTTTAAATCTAAAATATGAAGAAATACTTCAATAACTTCACTTAACTTAATCACAATAATATTTAGTTGATACAATCTTCTAAAACTAGTCAAACTCTAAGTTACTAATACCATGTGAATGTGAAACTGAGAAATATTAATTATATGCAAACTCAAAGTACCAAGAATGGTCCCAAAAATATTAATTCTTGTAATTTTATTAGCAACCATTTATAATTTTTTAAGTAGATGATGATGTGGATTTGGCAGGATGGTGTAGATTTCACAGAGCCAAATCACAAGGCCTGGGATTTTTCTCAATGGCCTCGGATTTTCTCAACGGTCCAAGGTTTTCGGGATGTTTTTTCTTGTCTAGGCTTTGGTGGGGATTGAACCACCAGCTTTTTGGAATGACTCAGTTTAGACTGCTCTGCCACCTAGCACCATCTAGAATGTGGCATATTACAATTTACATCATTAAATTTTAAAAAATGGTGGGGGTTGGGGGAGGCGACAGTTTGGGGAAACTCTGCACTTCCTTACAATGTATTTTTATTGAACTTACCACACTTAAGTCTAAATTTCATTTTAGTCTTTAGACTTAAATACACTTTTAGCTAGGCTTAAATAAATTATGAAATAAGCATATGGCAGGCTAAGTTAACAGGGCTAAACAGTGAATTAGGGTTTAGGTTAAGTTTAGGGATCGATTTAGGGTTCACGTTAGGCATAGTATAGGGATCGATTTAGGGATACATTCGTGAAATTCGATAAAAATGTGGCAGACGTCCTCATTTTTAACCGATACAAATAATGATACTACTTACTTTAAAAAAAAACAGTAAACTACTCAATCATGAAAATGCCATTCACTTTGACTTAGACACTTTCTAATTTTAAATAACAATGAATGATTAAAAATAAAATCAAATGTTAAAATAAAGTAATAAAGGCATAGTCCACATAAGCCCTTCAGACTAATAACTATGATACTAGTTATTAAATATCAGAGCTATGGTATGACTGTGATTTAAAGTCAATTCATCATCATCATCATGACATGGATGATACCCGATGGATGGAGATTATTGGAGAGGAACACATCATCATGAAACCCAATTTTCAATTATAAATAGGCTTTAACCATAGACGACGTAAGTTAAATAGGCCTATACTATTTTAACTACTTAAATTTACAACGCTAATAATACCTTCAACACAGTAAAAACAAAATGAGGATTCTAGTCTAGTTAGTCCTATGCCTATTGGTCGCAAAATAGCTGCAAAATAAACACAAGATTCGTCATATTAATATTACGATCATAGTAGACTCCCCTGTCATAAGTGAATGAAAAGTTCGCAATTTTATCATTGATCTTCCCTACTCTCTTTAAAAAACAAAAAGGAAACCAAAAGATGATAGAATCAGGGAGCAGTATGAAATTTAATATTTTAGGCTAAAGGAATTCGTTAATTCTGATTAACTAGTTTATTGTTGGTATTACTATTACTATTAGTATTAGTTAGAACAATAGAATGAATGGGCGGGGTAGCGTCTCCGTGTGGCGTACCCTTCATATTCATGAATGAGCCTGAGGCCATTGAGGTTGAACTTGAAATATTTTATGCCAAAAGCCAATGCTGTTAGAAAGAGTAGTATGTCTAACTCTAAGTCAACGTATGAGAAACTCAAGTTTGACGTGTACGTTTACAATGGATTGGGAGCAAATGAACACGGATGCAATCAGCTTTTACAGGCATTGCATACTTGTCTGGATAGTGAGAAACATGACGTCATACAATTTATTAGTCCTGAGGAAATCATTAATGGTAAAAGATTATTACAAAAACCTACAATTAATTATTATTCAATAAGCAAGCAGGCCTGGAAAGCTAAAATTTTACTAACATGCGATTTAACTATCTAAATTGACCTCTGTATTTAGACTCTATAATTTATGTATGATTAAAATTACTAGAATAAATGCAGGCTATCATAGTCACGTCACGTCCTTGTCTCTAATAGTATATAATATATGTACCCTTGTTTTATCCCCATCAGGCATAAAGTCATTAACGATACTTAATACTAGAATAGGGATTGCAAAAATTAACCTAGTTTCAAATGCATTACTTTATCCAACTAAAATAGTATCTGTAAAATGATAATGATTTTTACCCACTTATTTTTATCCTTGCTTTTATTTCAAGTCTGTAGACTAGAATGTAATAAAAATGTATATTTAACAAATTTTTGCATTTTAAAAATATTTGAAAAAAAAAAATTTTTTAAACATATAAAGGTTATTGAATGTGTTGTTGAGGTTTTAAGACAGTGAGTAAGGTAACAATGTTTGAAGCAAAAGAAAACCTACTCATAAATTCATTGTACATCTTATTTGACTATTGGAGCCTGGGGACCGAGGACCAAGAGTGGGGGTAAACATATTTATAAGGATTTGTTCCAGTCATATAAATAATAAATTTATTATTACCTGAAATCAAAATTAGTTATTGACCGATTCTTTCTCATTTTTGGGTGGTTTGTTATTGTCACATTTATTCATCAATTTTCTTAGGTTCTAAGTTGAAAGGTGCTGCCTTAATTGCCTTTGGGTCTGGCTATACGACTGGCTTTGCCTCAGCTCTAGGAGAAATAGGCTTGAGGAATCTGAGAGATTATGTTCTCTCAGGTGGCTCTTATCTTGGCTTAGGTGCAGGCGGATACTTTGGCTGTGATTTTATTGAATTTGACAAAGAAGGTCCCTTGGAGAAATTATCAGAAAGGGAATTAAGATTTTTTCCAGGTACCAATAATTTAAACAGATCAGTTTATCTCAGAAGTGGATTCAACTACGAACTTTATTTATTTGTGGTAGATAATAATTATTTATTCAACTCAGGATTTTATTTATTTCTTGGTTATTTGCAATACAAATAAAACCCATGACGTGAACTTTCCACTGCCAAGGTTCAGAATTTTCCCCACTAATTTCAGCGTTAATGAATTAATGTAATTTGGAATAATAGTATTTAAAAAGAAAATTAATTTGAAGATTAAGTGTAATGATTTAAAAAAATAAAAACTTGCTACTTGTTTGCCATGTACCAAATTTCATCACAAAGATTTTTAACAATGATCTTCTTTATATTTAAAAGTGAGGAAATAATTTATTTATTCACTAATAATATTCACTTTTTAAGTTGATCCTTCAAGATTTACATTTCTTTTATTTCAGGTATTGGTAGAGGACCTGTGTATCCTGGCTTTCAATATGGTACAAACAAAGGACTTTGTGCAACATTTGTCACATTTCACACAGACACTTTCAGTAGGTCTTTTCATTGTATGATTGATGGGGGTGGTGCTTTCTATCCTAGCGACCCACCAAAGCCAGGAAGCAATGTTAAAACTGTGTTAAATGTAGCTGTATTTGCTGCAGTTCCAGAGACACCTTCAGCTATAGTCTACACCATGGTCGGTGCTGGTCGAACTGTATTGTCTGGTGTACATTTGGAATATGATGTCAGCTCTTTGATAAAATCTGATCCGAGCCTTGAACACTTGCAAGAAACTTTTAATGCCAGCAGACAGAATCAAATTAACGCCTTCAAATCACTTGTGCAATTGTTGACTTTAAATGTTGCCTGAATTGTGATAAGTATCTTACAACTCCTGACATTTGACCTTCTGTGTTGACATTGGTAAACATTTCATGTCATTTATACTGTTGACCTCTAGAAAGATAGGTGTGTGGTGCATCTTTGATGATTTCTTTAATAGAATGTGTAAGCTTATGAGTAATTTCTTGATGTTTTCCAGCTGCTGGATTCACCATTGCAACAGGTAATTAATTTAAAATTTTGCTTTAAGCTGTTACATGATATGGTTCAAAATAAGTCATTTGAGACAACATTAAACTTAAGATTTTTTTAAAGTCGAGAATGTGATACACATTATTTTCAAGACAATATTTCCCCCAAATCTTTAGCTTTCTGTATCTTCATTTTGATTATTTACTTGGCTATCAAGGTTTTAAAAAAATTAACCTATCAAGACCATTAAATATTACAAACTACACTGACTGCTTTGAATAGCTCTTACATAACAGGTTTCCATTGATCTAAGAGCAATATTACTACTAAAGCTTATTAAAATATTGATTATACCAATTCTTACAGCTGTTTATTTCTTATTTTTCTGAAAATAAAATTAACTATAGATTATGGATTTCATCATTGGATAGAATTCTAACCACAAAACGTATGTAGTCTTGCCAATTAAAATTTGTAATACAAGTCATTCTTTGGGCAGCCAGAAAAGGTTAGCAGACCAAGGCCCTCTGTTTTATATACAGGAATGAAAGAAATTAAAAATGATTCCAAGCAGATAAAACAGGCTGTCACAACTCACTGTCCATTAAATGAAAGCACAACAGAATCAAAGCTTAGGTCAATGTTTATTTGCAGTAATTATAAAGAATGCATTATAGTTGATACAAAAATAAGAATTGATAGGATTGACAAACTACATGTGATGACAACAAACATTGCTGCTAATTTGTGCTTCTGCTTTCAAACACTTGATCTTTCCAAACTGAATGGACCAAAACAAGTTATGTTAACAAGTTGTTTGCTTCTATCATCCACAGCTAATTGATTTATAAAAATAGCCTTTTTAAAATATTCTTTAAGAAATACAATTGCAAACAAATATTTGAAATTTCATTCAGTGCATGAGATCTTAAATGTATCATGACAAAAACTGGATGTCAAAATGGAGCATGCAAGTACAGAAATATGAACACAAAAAATAAACAAAAGAGCAGCCTCTTGCCATCTGGGAATTTTTGATTATGCAGATTGAGGTGAGAGCTCTGAGCAAGATTTGACTCAAATGATTGAAAGATGTGAGAGCTCTGAGCAAGATTTGACTCAAATGATTGAAAGATGAATCATTACAGGTGTGAAACAAGCAAAACAAAACAAAAGAATGGTACATTTTTTACTAAACTTAAATTTCAAGTGTACATTAAAAAGAAATAAAAAATTATTTTAAAATGGGTGAACCCTTTTTTTCACTCAGTATGACTGTCTCAGGAACTTACATAGAGTTTACTACCCAACATTTTCCAGATAACCATTAATGGCAGCAGCAGCAACAATCTGCCCATAAAACCTTGAACACAAGCTCATCCCTAGCCCTGCGCTCAACCTGTTCTTGCACCCATCTCAGCATTCACAGAGCTTTACAACATAGGGTCACCCTCCTCACATCTTGTTGGTTATATTTAAAAAAATAAACAGTACATTGAAAAGGATAAGTGCAATAAATGGATTTTCCTGATATGATGAGCATCAGCCATACTAAAGCTAAGCTAGTATTGCTATAATTAAGAAATCTGTAATCATGTTTCTCACCAAACAAAACTTGGTATACAAGTCAAACCTTTTCTGGTTTTGAAATTTGTTAGTTGTTAAAATCTGCGCAGCACCCATCCCAGATTGTCCCTAAAATAATACACATTAAAGTGTATGTGTATTATATACACAAGTACATTGTTAGCTGAAGAAATAAAGTAATATGGAAGTACAAAATAAAATTATGCTGTATGGATCAATCTTTAGTTTATAATTTAAAAACAAAAAACATCATAACAGGAGAGCCAGGCATGACTGTCTTGTGTGACGGCAGTGCCCACGAGTACCTGGCTGCCTACACTTGTGCCAGGAACTGTCTACCATCTTCCCCAAGCAGCTAATGCATCAAAATTCAACATCATAAGATAAAGACTTAAATAATATGATGATGAACAAAATGCTAGAAAAGAAAAAAAATATAAAAGCTGAACCAACTATTTGCCACCAAAAGAACTTCAGGTGTCTTTGGTCAATAAAAAACCCCCAATAATTTATAAAAATATACCAGACAACACTTAAAGAGGTACAGTCATACTGATACTCTCCATAACGTTAGAGTAAAAAAAAACCAACAGAACATTTGAAGGGACTTTGGATTTAAGCACTCAATCAAAAGGCACCTCTTTGGATTTTGATTTTATTTCTCTTTTTTTTTATTATAAAGAACAAAAATATTTTGACTTTTAAAAAAAATTTAAGTTGAGTTTCAGTAGTTTGACATCAAGTCAAAATTGCTGATGATCCCCCACCCCTTCCACTTTTACAGATGATGGTAAAATAAATCCCTAAATGGATACAAAGTCATGCTATTTACAAAAATGCCACAAATAACAGGCACAGAGAAATGCCCCACAAACCCCCCCCCCCCCCCCCCCCCAAGTCCACGGTTCTAACTAAAATTGACCATTTAAAACAAAACATCACAGGAAATAAATAAATGCTACATTTAGAAGTTAAAAGTAAAAACAAAAATGTCCTTATTCATGAATGTCCAAGATTAATTGTTCATTGCTCCAACTGATGCAATAGCTCATGACATTAACTCTTAACAAATGCACACAAAGAAAGAGTGCTCCTCAAGGATTCCATCCGTTTATACAACAACCATCATTTCTAATGAGGCAATTGTAGGTCTCCAGACAAAGCTTTGCATTTCTAATGAGGCAACTGTAGGTCTCCAGACAAAGCTTTGCATTTCTAATGAGGCAACTGTAGGTCTCCAGACAAAGCTTTGCATTTCTAATGAGGCAACTGTAGGTCTCCAGACAAAGCTTTGGTATTATTCAACAGCACCACTTTCAAAATAAAAAAATCTATCCTTGCATTTAAAAGTCGGTCTGTTTCTTGCTGCCAGATTGGACTTCCCATAGTTTTGATTGACTTTATCTTTCTAGCAGTGTTAGATTGACCATGTCATGCAGTAACTGGCTAGCTAACTTGAGTTGTGCTTGGCGGAGGGTGTTACCTACAGCGGCAGCTCATATGTTTTCATAATACTTATTTGTGCGGTGAGCCTAAATAACAAAACATGTCACCAACTCTTGAGATGAAACCTTTATCTAGTATTTTTGATGGGGGTTGACAAATGCTGCTTTTAGCAAAAGGTGGTTTGCAGCTGCCAGAGTAAACCTAACCCCTCATAAACACAGATAATTTTCCACGTTCTAAGTCTTTGTTTCACTTTTAATGAGCAAATCTCTATATACACTATACACACAAGGTTTGAAGGAAAAACTTTGTTTCATTACCCCTTCATTACCTGAAGCCAGTTGGGGGGGCAGGCTAGATTATATTTGATGAATATCAGGCCTAAAATACACCATTCTCTTTCTCTATCGTTCATAATAGTTCTCTAAGCTATCAGCCGAGTTTAGAGACTCAGCAATGGTTTTAAATATATAAAAATAGAAATAAAATTTAGCACTAGCAATTTCAACAATGTTGTTTCAACATTAACAATAATACCTCATGTCAGTGGACACACATCACATCCTTACATATGTGCTCAAGGTCCACTGACATTTTACCTAGACCCCTGAAAAAGCCATCCAATGTAAGTTACATTTTTATACAAGACTAAACCATTTGGATGACTATTTTAAAAAAAAGAAATCGCCAGGGCTGAGCTCAAAGTTTTCCTGTTTATATTTGCTGTACCAGCAGGGTAGAAAATTTTAATTTCATAACAATTGTTTTATAAATTTTAATTATAAATTGGATACTTGTTTGTTTTATAAATGAAACTTGGTGGAATTTATTAGTGGATTAAACCTAAGTTAAAAAAAAATGTGTGTGTTGTCCTATTCATAAAGAATCACTAATAGCGAAGGCTCTGTTAATTCTTCAAGGTTTTCCAGGTAGGGCAACATCATTGCCAGTTAAGCAAGCCACTGGCCTTTTATTCAGTTCTGAATGATATTTCATGTAGTTCTTCCATAAAAATTGACTAGTTAGAGAGGCCAACAGCAGTGTTTTTGGTAATAAACTTTGTGCTGCTGTGAATATAGAGCGAAAGACTAAGAGCTCACCCATTTGAAAAATTAACTAGCATCAATAATACAAAGTTGAGTAAAATACTAGGTGGACAAAATTTAGGACTTGGCATCATCTTCCCCTTCCCTTTCATGAAGGTTTGGATTACTGCTCCAGCGTTTCTTGTGCTGCATCCGGCCAAAGCCTTCATCATAGTTTCCTTTGGTGGCAAAAAGCTGCTTGTAGTGGGTGGTACAGAAGATGACATCGTTATTAATTGCGAATGTCTTTGGCCTGAGGGAATTGATAGGAAAAATGTGTGAGAATAAGGTCAAAGTAAACTCTCCTGCAAATATATAAATGTCACAATGTTCTGCACAGCATCAGTTGTTGAGGGGTAAATTAGGGTCATCCTGACATGAACAGACAGTTAACAAAGAATGTGAGGTATAGAAAAAGTGTACCAGGTATTTAAAGGTCTCTGTGACTAAATGATTGAGGTGTTGGACTTTGTGAGGTCTTTTTTTTTGGGGGGGGGGGGGGTAATGGAAATGATGGTGGACATGTTATGATTTGCCAGTTATGGGTGTTCGATAAAAATATGAAATGTTTTTTTCATTAGATGAACAAAGTTTAGGTGATGGACAAGTTGCCTTTTGATATTTGACCAGAGTCATCATGCAGTGAATGAGTGGGCCATGCCTGGGATACCTGTGTAATAACAACTTTACATTAATTTACAATACTTTCTTTTGATATAAATTTGTTTCCCATATTGCAACTATTGTGCTTTTTAAGACAAAGAGTTTAATCATGATGACTCTGGCTCAGTTTATTTTGGTGTCAGATAAATGATTACTGCCATGACAGCTGAATTGTATGTCTGTTGTTTGAGTGTTCTTGATAGTGACAGAAATACTTAAAACAAATAAAGATGAAATATGCTGCTCTTGATCTTGGCTGGTGGATGAAATTCTACAAAGTTATAGAAGATAAACTGTTCACATTAACATTGCCAACTTCAACTTGCATCAATGGATCAAAATAATCAAATAGGAAAAGGAGGGAAGTCCAGTTTTAGAACAGCCTGGGGGAGGTGTTGACCCAGTTTTGTCAACTGCTCTCAACTATTGGGAGACTAGGAACAGGTTTTGGGTGGGACTAGGGGAGGTGGGAGCCCCCTGGTTTTGTTATTCCTAGATTTAAATTACCCATCATGCTCACATCTAAGAATGATGATGATGGTTGTGATGAATACACATTTGGCTGATGAAAACCAGTTTTAAAGTTAAAAGCATGCAAAGTTAAGTCCATGCTCTACTGGAAGGTCAGCACATGGATGTTTTTTTTTTAGTAGGCCACTACATGCACTGTCAAGTTTCTACAAGTTAGATCAGAATTATGAGGCCCACTGGGTATTAAAAGCACACACAAAAATTTGGCTGGACTGGTCCAGTACATGGGAAGTTTAGTGTGTGAGTGCTGATGTACACTTGACAAACAGTGTATGGGGTAGTATGAGTGGCATGCAAGTTGTGAGCAAATTAAACAAAAAAAAAAAGAAAAAAAAAAGAAAGAAATAAAGTGCTGCCCCCATAATAGTTGGGGGGAATAAATGGATCAAACAATTATTAATAGATGTACACTTGACAAACAGTGTATGGGGTAGTATGAGTGGCATGCAAGTTGTGAGCAAATTAAACAAAAAAAAAAGAAAAAAAAAAGAAAGAAATAATGTGCTGCCCCCATAATAGTTGGGGGGAATAAATGGTTCAAACAATTATTAATGAGAAAAATATACATTTTAAAATTAAGAGAAATAAAAAAAATGTTAAAAAATAAAAAAGTAAAATTTAGAATAAAAAAAAAATATTTTAAATGACATTATTATATAAAATAGTCCATAAGTAAAATATACGTTCTATAAAAAACTTCTGCAATTACTTTAAGTGTAGTATAAACAAAGTAGACTTAAGAACCAATAAAAGCATTAAATGCTAAGCTGGAACTGTGAAGTTCACTTTTTTATGGATCCTATTTACAATTTAAATACCGTATCGAGACCGGAGGATCTGTTAGGGAATTATTGTTAGCTTAAAAGAAAAATAATATCCAACAAGTTTTTGAAGGATATTCTATGTTTTGCACTTTAAAATAAAACTTTTTAAAAAAGATGAGAGTTTCAGTCAACTGAAGAGTGGAATTTTATATTTGTATTGGCTAACCTAAAAATATATTACAAAATAATAGAGTATGTATTCTAATTTTCAAGAGGGAAAAAAAAAGGTTGCGGAGCACTGCTTTATAGTGGCCGCCTGGGTCATCAGGCAATGCCCGACCATAAAAATCTAACCCAGAGCCTAAAAATCACCAAGGGAAGGGGCGCTAAAACCTTTCAGATAAGATTTAACCTAACACATATCTAACAGAGAAAACTTTTTAATATCATTGAGGGAGGTGAGAAAGGGTCTGGGGGGGCCTTACGTCAGTACAGCTTTGCATTGAGTGCACCTAAAACAGGCTTTGTGGTACACCCGTTTGTTCATCTCCAGGCGCTCCATGGCGTACACCGTTTTCTCACACGCGCCACATTTCTCCGTCTGAACAGCAGCCCTCATGCTCTTGCTCCGGCCCACCTAACAGGACGATATTAGTCAAACAAACGTGGCATCAACAAACAGGCAAACAGGAACAGCACACAGTCAGATCCAACCAATTGTTATGTGGCAGCCGGAAATGAGACCCTCAGTTTTTCAATTAAAAAAAAAAAAACTTAAATACCTAACATGAAAATTTTATTAGAGAAATATGTTCTCTTAATTCTCAGATAAGAAGAAAAGAGTGATCCATCACTTATACATTTTTACCTTAGTGAACATGTGACTGTGATCTGGTGTCATTAAAATATAAAGAAGTAAAACTAGGACCAAATTGTCTCATTTCCAGCTGACCCATCACAAAAGTCAGGTTATAAAGAAGAGAGCCAACTGACTGTACTAACACTGACAAGGCAAATTGAATAGAATCTACCAATTTAAATTTTATTTTCACCCAACTTAACCTTAAAAATACCTAGTAGAAAATAGGTCAATTAATTTTAAAAGAAATTAAACTAACCAATATAAGTTATGAAATCATTTTAGAATTTAACAATTTTGTTCCAGCTTAAAATTTACATTTAATTGGAGCTTCAACTTGTATTAATAGTATTATTTCTTAAGCCAGTTTTTATTTAATAATTAAAAAATAAATAAAATGCAGCCATTTATTTTATTTAGTAGAGCAAGTTTAAAAAAGGGAAGCTTTTTGACTTAGTTAATAAACAAAGCAGACATCTAAAAGTTAATTAATAATTTGATTAAAGACTAAGCAGCCTATGCATGTGAAACGTAATTGATTATCAACATAGCTTTGGTCTAAGATGAGAAGTAGACTACAAAGTAGTATCTTATCTGGCAAATGGTGTATAGATTTGTTGAGGTTGGCAACAATCAAATGCAATATTCTACACCTGCCTTTAAGTGTCAAGAGGAAGTCTCAAATAATAAATTCAGTTCATTTTCTTTGGATCTGTGTGTGCGTGGGCGCACTTGCATATGTTTTAAAAATAAAAATTAATTCTTTTTCCTTGCAAGGCACATGCTAAAAAGCTACATGCTGTTAGTGCATTAGTTGTTTTCAAATAAAAAAAACAATCAAACAATGCAAAGAAGCAGTATTGTTAGAATTGAAAATAACATTATTTTATAATAAATACAAGGAATTGAATTGTTATCAAATGATAAAGCAAATTTAGAAAAAAAATTAATACTGTAAGTACTTATTAAATTTCAAAGTTATTGTATGAATTCAATGTATGAAGCATATATCTATATATATCTATATATATATCTATCTATATATATATATCTAGATATATATCTATCTATATATATATCTATATATATCTATATATATATATCTATATATATATATCTATATATATATATCTATATATATATATCTATATATATATATATATCTATATCTATATCTATATATATCTATATATATATATCTATATATCTATATATATATCTATATATATATCTATATATATATCTATATATACAGAGATATATATCTATATCTATCTATATATATATATATATATATATATATATATATATATATATATATATATATATATATATATATATATATATATATATATATATATATATATATATATATATATATATATATATATATATATACAGAGATATATATATATATCTATATATATATATATATATATATATATATATATAAATATATAAATATATATATATCTATATATCTATCTATATGTATATCTATCTATATATCATTGAAATAAATAATTTAAAAAAAAGGAACTCCCAAAAAATTGTCAATGTAAACAGAGAGAAGGGTTTAAATAATGGGTGAAAAAAGGTCAGTGCACAAACATGGAACATTTTATCTGTGATTGCTTTCAGTTTTGGATGATATAGAACATTTAAAGGAATGAAATGGGACACAGCAAATTATGGACTCAACATACCAAGTGTCATTAATTTGGTGTTACACCTGTAATTATGTAATTGTTGTTACATGTTTGTGCCCTGACCAATGTAAAAATAAAATTATCTAGCCAATACAGAATACATAGCTAGTGGGAAAATAAATGCAAGGTTTTTCAGGCATGAAACAAAACTATGAACTTGTTCATACATTTGATAATTCAGATTGGAAAAATTTATTAAATGGATATTTATTCGAAAGTCAACATTGATTATATTGTAAAGTAAAGGTCAGCCCTGACAGTCTTATCAGTCACATGCACACACTCTTTGGTATTATTGCCACAATAATTGGACAAGTCATTGCTGCTACAATGAGTTAATTCCAAAGTGTGTTTTAATGACCAAATATTTCTTCATTCAACAACTTGCTAAAAGCATGCATGCACAAACATATGGTAAACATTCAACTAATGGTCCAACTCCAAATATCTCAATTGCAGTGTATTGCATTTTTAAATGAACAAACTTTTAACTAATTGTGTTGACCTGAATTGGTTTGTGTGTGCCAACAAATCAAATACCTAAATTGCTTTGTGAGTGCCAATATGTCATAACTGAATTGGTTTTGATGTGCTTACAGGTGTGTGTCAACTAAGCTATTAAACCAATAAGTTGATTTTTAAAGTAATTTACACTGAAAAAAAACCCCATATTAGGAAATTGCGGTAGTTTAAAAACTTGGATTCAAGGCTTTTGTTGGTTAGAGTTAGTCAGATCTATGTTATATGTTAGTAAGTTGACCAGAAGAGGCTAGCTTACAATAACATTCACCCACCCCTCCCAATGAAATATGTGCAACACTATGACATCATCCAAAAACTGTTTTAAAAGGGAACAAAGGATTTAATAACATTTTTGCTGAGTTACCAATTTATAAATAGACACAAGCAACTATTTCATATCAAGACATTATTCTGATATCTATTCTATTGTTACAGCTCCCATTCTATTGTTACAGCTCTTATTTTATTTTAACACATCCCATTGTAGTGGCTTAGTATCCAAGTTTGATAATGACATCTTACTGTTATTAATAGAAAACCACGACTTGTAATACTAAAAACCAAAACCCTCACCTGTCAACATACCCCCCCTCCCCCAAATCACATACATGTTCACATAACCATTCAGTTATATGAATCTCTCACCTGTCATCTCCCAAATGTCTACATACCCCCTTACATGTTTACATAACCCTCTTGACCTATCCACATAACCAACCCCCATATATACCAACCCCCATTTCACCTGTCCTCATATCCCCCACCTCATCTCAGCACACAAATATTGGTTTATCATGCCTCATCACCAACAAGGTAAACTAGCCTCTTCTCACCAACAATCTGTTGCCCAGAAAAACCCTACCCAGGAAAAAAAAAGAAAGTTTCAAAATAATTTGTCTGTAGAATTCATAGCTTCATGTCTAAGTTTGACCAAGACATCCGTCTCGGAGCGACCGTCTTAACAAACCTTGTCGGGACTTTCAAACTTTTCTATGGTATTCTCCATGATGTTATCACTCTCTGCCTCGCTACTCTCAGAGTAGTCCGAGTCCTACAGGTAGGGGAACAGAGAGCAAATGAAAATCTCACAGCAAACCACACACAAGGTTAGTAAATAAAGACTGGAGACCGATCATGCAATAGGTAGGTATTTATAGGGTGGTCTTGTAATTGTGTTATCTCCACATCAGTTTCAAACTAAATGTCATGTACTACTAGGTCCATAGCTGTGTAGTATCAGTTTCAAACTAAATGTCATGTACTACTAGGTCCATAGCTGTGTAGTATCAGTTTCAAACTAAATGTCATGTACTACTAGGTCCATAGCTGTGTAGTATCAGCCAAGATTTACATTTATATCCAAAAGACCTAACACCCTGGCACTATCAGGTCATCTACAGGGCACCAGAGCCAAATGGAAGATGTCTGACATGTACAAGTCCGACAAACAAACATTGTGCAAATGCCAAAGCAATAGATTTTAATGGACATGTCATATTGCAGGCAAGGGTTTGTACAACAAGTACTTGTCAGCACAAACATGTTGGTGTGGTGGAAACATGAACAAAAAGGCTACCGGGTACCCATGATTATAAAATGTGAGAACTCCCTTTGCTGAACTGATGCCACTACAGTACTGGTACCAGGTAGAGGTCAAAGGTATCAAGTGTCTGACACATTGCTAGCCTCTTACAGAGTGAGCTTGTGTGGGCACATACTCAAGAAATCTATGTGTATGAGATTGTGTGTGTGTGTGGAAAAGGGGGGGGGGGCAGGTGGTGGTGATGTGCCCTAAACTTTGTACATCCGAGGTAACATGAAATATTTTGTTTGATCAGAGGCAAGCACTTAACATAGCTTTTATGGAATTTAAAAAAAACAGCTTATTAAGATCTGTGGTTCTCAAACTTTTGGAATGTAGACCACATAAATCAACCACGCTCTGGTTATTTTTTCGTAATTCAAACTCAGAAATGCACTGAATAATTACTGAATACCGGTATCTTTTTTGTTGTTACATATCTATGGAACAAAGTATTGTACCACATGAAACAAGGTATTTACATCACATGGAACAAAGTATTGTACCACAATGCAATAAGTGTGGTACCACATGGGACAAGCTATTGTACCACATGTCTAAAAGTATTGTACCATAATGATACACGTGCTGCCGTTTAATCAACACTGATCTAGCTCACTTGTTAGACCATACAGCGATACAATCTCTAAACCATATACTTACAACATCTACAATTTACTACAAACAATGTATAAATAATGTGGCTTTAATGACTTGGCTGGTTTATGTATTCGGAATCAACCCTTAAGGCTAACACATTAGGTTAAGATGACACACATATGTCAACTGATGGACACACATATGTCAACTGATGGACACACATCACGAGACTGATGGACACACATCACGAGACTGATGGACACACATCACGAGACTGATGGACACACACCACGAGACTGATGGACACACACCACGAAGACTGATGGACACACCTCACGAAGACTGATGGACACACATCACGAGACTGATGGACACACATCACGAGACTGATGGACACACATCACGAGACTGATGGACACACATCACGAGACTGATAACACACCACGAGACTGATGGACACACACCACGAAGACTGATGGACACACATCACGAAGACTGATGGACACACATCACGAGACTGATGGACACACATCACGAGACTGATGGACACACATCACGAGACTGATGGACACACATCACGAGACTGATGGACACAAATCACGAAGACTGATGGACACACATCACAAGACTGATGGACACACATCACGAGACTGATGGACACACATCACAAGACCGATTGGACGTGCATTCAGAAAGATAACGGTATGCAATAATTAAAAACGTGCAGCGCCTAGATGATATGTGGCTGTGGGCTTGTTTGTAGACAAATAAAAAAAAGGGGGGGGGGGTAAACAGTCAACTAGAATCAGTTGGCTTGTTTGTGGTGTAGCGCACACGTGTTAACAAGATAGAAGACACAAGACCCAATTATTCACGTTTAAGTTAGGAACAAGTTTGTAACGACGGCTACATATTGGATTTAAAAAAAAAAAATTTTAAGTTTTAAGTTTCGACTTTACCTTAAACCACGTTTTGACATTTGCACGCTACACTAACAATCTCAACGACATATCTCAACTAAACGCATCATAGGTATCATATATATTATATGCCCCGAGCAACTCTAGCCTAGAATCATTCAACTATTATCTCAGCAGAAACACTGTGTATTAATTCATAGCACTATGAACTAGAGTGAAGTACCTACTTGTGTCCGCTAAGGAAATCAACTCGCGACTGTTGGGCTACACATGATAGTCAGCTAAATGGCGAGCTTAGAGCACATACACTCGTTATTTTTAGATCTTGCCAGTGAGTAAGGGAGTTGCCGAAAAGTTGGGCCAACACATCGCGAGACGCGGGCTTGGGCTTGGTGGTTTTTTTTTACTTTATGTTCCTTTTACCTTTTTTTTTTTTTTTTGTTTTTTGGTTGGGGTTGGGTGGTTTTTTTTTTTTTGCTTTTTGGTTGGGGGTGGTTGGTTGGGGGGGGGGGGGTTATATTAGGTATTATGAGCCAAGCAGACACCGTCATGGGAACATGAACACTAAAAGGTCATGGAGAGAATATTCATGTGATTAGTTCGTTTTTTGGACGATTGAGGTTCAATAAAGCGGGATTGGTAACAGATCTCATCTTAACGGCTGTGTGAAGTGTGAAGGTTTTGTGTATGGCTGGATTAAAGGGGGTGGGTTGCAGTGTAGCCGGTGAATTAAGTCTTTTAAAGGCGACCCTCAAGTCACTGGCAATGACAAACACACAGATCATAGTACGGATAATGCCCTTGTGGCAATGTGTCTCGACACTTCACATGCGTATCTCGGAAGGGGGGCTCTTGCCCTTGCAGCTGGGTCTCAATTCACTGGGTTTAGCTTACCCCGGGATACAATTCATTGAATTAACTATAATAATAGAAATGATTTTTATAGTTCAAATTTTTTGGTCATAACGTGAATTTAAAAAAAATGTTAAGGTTAGTTGAGAGGCTGGTCACTTGCTTCTTTTTGCTTCATTTTCCACCGCTTCTCCCTAGTCATGGATACCTAGCTAATGATATGCTCGTTAATTAAGCAAAGGTTGGATATCACAATTAACACTTGAGAGTTTGACTTGGTCCAATGTACAGGTGGCTACTTCTAATGTCCAATCCGTCACTAAACATGTCTCAGGAAACTGTTCAACTTGTAACAAGGGTTTCGTTTGGAATCTGAACCAAATCAAAATGTCTCACTATGTCTCATTCTGTTCACTTTGGTAGCACGTCAACAACACTACATAATAGACAGGGAGTTGGACACGTGAACAGCTTGGGATAATCAAGTCACTCGACCACGGGGTTCCAGTTCATAGGAGGCCACCTGAAATGTTCTTGCCAAGAGATTACGTAAGGGTCGCTGGCTGAAACAATAGGCTAAGAGAGCTAGTCATTTTGAAATAGTTTTATTTATTTTTTAAAAATTCGTGTCTTAAAGTTTTGAGTTACAATTTCAATTATGGCCATTGACTAAGTAACCCAATACATTATACCGGTACCGGAAAACATTTTTTCTTTTTAGGAATGTACCCTACTTTTAAAAAAAGTATTTTTTTCCCCTCCCCCTTTTTATCGTGGTTAGAGCACTTTGCTTTTTATTTGAATGTGATAGTGACTTGAAAACGCTTGAGAACCTGTGAACTAGAGCTACCGAGCTTACTAATTTAGCTCAGATAATTAGATTTGACAGATTGTTTTTTACAACAAGAAGATTGTACTCTGTGTACCGCTACCCGATAAACGCTGCTGGGTGCCGCCCATGGCTTGACATGGAAACAGTTCTGGGGTGGGCGGGGGGACGGGACGGTACTTTTTTTTTATAAAGCGGTTTTTTAAATTGAATAAGTGTATGTCCATTTTTAATGTCGTGTTTATTTCTGCCAATATGTGAAGCGCGGTGAGCTATACCGCGCTATACAAGACCACTGTAATAATAATAATAATTTCCAGGAACACTGTTATTAAAAATCTTATGGGATTCCGGAAGTGCATCCCTAGTCTATATAGAGGGTTTGGGGGTGGGGGGGGGGGTCGCTGTAGTTTGTGGCCGGACTCGGATAACACTTCATGTCCCCGGAAAAAGGTCGTTTGGTCAAAGGTCATTTGGTCTACCTGCATGTTTGCAAAGGCAAACCTATCAGGGAGCAGGCATGACGCAAAGGCCTAACCCCCCCCCCCCAACCACCACGGTAAAGACATCACCAAACACCTAACCCAAAGCTGCATGCGTAATGTTGTTCCTAAAACTGAATAGACGCACTCGTCTCTCGCACGACCAGCGATCCATTGACAGTTTTAATGGCGAGGATAGATCACTCGCCCTGTTCGCCCATATGTGTGACACACGTGACCTCTTTAAACAAATACAGGGCAAAAAACCAGAGAAGTGGTTCTTAACCTTTTTGGAGGTATCCTTCCTTCATCTGCCCCCCTCATACGCTTCCTTCATCTGCCCCCCTCATACGCTTCCTTCATCTGTCCCGCCATTACCTCCTTCGTCCTTCCCCGTCATACCATTCCTTCATCTGTCCCGTCATACTCTTCCTTCATCTGCCCCGTCATTACCTTCCTTCATCTTCCCCGTCCTACCATTCCTTCATCTGTCCCGTCATACCCTTCCTTCATCTGTCCCGTCATACTCTTCCTTCATCTGCCCCGTCCTACCATTCCTTCATCTGTCCCGTCATACTCTTCCTTCATCTGCCCCGTCATACTCTTCCTTCATCTGCCCCGTCCTACCCTTCCTTCATCTGTCCCATCATACTCTTCCTTCATCTGCCTCATCATACTCTTCCTTCATCTGTCCCGTCATACTCTTCCTTCATCTGCCCCATCATACTCTTCCTTCATCTGCCCCGCCCTA